TTCCCGGCAGGAAATCCTTCTTCCATGTTTACTCGAAATCTCCTTCGCTTTCATTTAAACCCAGATCCCTTCAGATCCCACCCTCTAAGGCTGCAGAACACGACCTTTCCGCATCTTTCCTGTGAAAGGAAATGCTGAATCGCCGCAATAGGGATGGCAGGGCCTGGCAGAGGAGGGGAGAAGTTACTTTTTTGGAAATGCAGCTCCCTGACTGAGCCTGTGGACTTTTCCCGTCACGATGATCCCACGTGGACATCCTGGGGAAATCAGCTGAGTGAAGGCTGGCAGCTGCACACAGCACCCCTAGGGCTACATCCAGCTGTTAGGCTGAGCTCAGGGAGAGCCATTAAATGAGCACAACTTTGGCAGGTCGGCACCGACGTCATCCCCGTCCATTCCCCCCGGTGTGCCTGCTCCAGTTGGGAATAACTGCTGGATTTAGTTCTTTGTGTCCAGCGCCCTGAAGGATGGAGAAGATCTGGCTGATATAGACACTCCATGGCCATGTTTTCTGTGCAGTCCGATCATCTTTCCTAAGACCGAAGTGCGGGTTTTTGTGTTGTGTTGTGTTGTTGTTTTTAGTCCAGCTGGCCGAGGGCAGCTGAGGCTTTTTGCCACTACTGTGGCATTTATTAGTGGTTTCCTCCTTCCCCCTCTCCTTTAAAAAAGTGTCTGCTCCTATAATTAGTGGCTTCCTGTTCGGATGAATCACTGATTTCCTCTTTACAGCTGGAGCAGTTAAACAAGGATTTTTAAATTTCCTTTTTTGTTATAGCACATTGCAAAATGCTATTTATCAAAATATTTTGACATTCCCTTTTGCCCTAGTGGGTTTATGCAGTAGATTAATGATACATTTAAATGATCATGTTAGAACTGTAGTAAGGTACATTACGCCAATATTTCATTTTTATTTATTTCAGCATTTATGGCCAGTCTTTCTTTGCAAGTGGGCAGCTAACAAAAATCACTCTGCCAATAAAATAACAAAAATATCAGGTTTTGTGTGGCTAAAACAATGAATAAAGCAAGCTCAGCAAATCTTAAAAGCAGTGACCTAAAGAACGCGTGTTGGAATAATACGGTCTTTAAACATCTGAAACAGCAAAAACGAGTCTACAAAAATAAAAACAACTGGTTCCAAGGACGAAAATCAGGAAGTAGAATTTCTGTCCCTTTAGAAGAAACCCAAAGCAAACATGAAGAGCCAATTTAGGAGA